GCCCACCACTATAGAGACTATAGAGACACTTGTTTTACAGAATATAATAACGCCTGTATGTAGGCGTTTTATCTTAGATATTTTGCTTATGCGCGACAAGACTATAGTATCGGTCCTGTCGGCAATTCAGTCGAGAACTCGACTCATTCGAGCTAAGTAGTGAGCTTGTAGTATAAATCATATTTTTTAAAACTAATAAAGTATAATATTCTCATATAAATCTAAAACGTGTATTCTTTTTATTAATAAACTATTAAACAACATTTGATTATCACCCGCTACACAGAGAACGGTTTCAACAAATTGTCGTCTTCGGATACAACCAGAGACACAATATAAAATATAACAGAACATCACAGGCATACGCAGTGGCGTTCATAACACTGCGGACAATCCGAACCCCAGCGTGGACGGGGTAACGGGCAGCACTTCGGGAGCTCGAAGCGAACACCGGAGACGAACAGGCGGATACCGGGGTTCCGAAATGTCTGGATTGGACGATGTCTATTTTTCCGGTGGTCCAGCAGCAGACTGCAGACGCACATTCATGTCGTGCAGGACGTACTCTATACGTAGGACGTATCTACGGCGTGGATAGATATCAGACAGGCCGGACGCATCTTCTGCTGCTGAGGCCGCCGACGGGAATAACGGCCAGCAGAATCCCGCCCCCCGGCCGAGGAACACCAGACGAGACGGCGAGTGGTACGTGAGAGAGCACTGTCCGGGTGGCAAGTGGCCCTATACGTTTTCTGCTGGTCAACTCCGCAGAACGACGAGACTTCGGTCGACGGCGTCGCGAGTTGGCCTACACTCGAGACCATAATCGGCTGGCGGATCCGGCAGCGTCGGACGTCGACGACGGTTGCTGCGCGAAGACCGCGACTCGTAACGGTGGTGGAGGCAACTGCCAAACACGACGGGCGAGCTACGGAGTCATATTATATTTGTGCTAGTACCTAGGAACATGGACGTCAGCAGGAAACCGTTGCAAGGCGCGCTGGACGAAAACCGAGGAGAGTATCAGGACCGCAACGTTGCGGTCCGCCGATACTCTTTGGTTTTCGTACAACAATAATCCTGCCGGCCGATTCCTAAACCGCAAATAATATATAATATGGTTGTCTTAGCTCGCTCGGTGTTTTTGGTCTGCGCCGCCCATAGAGTAATTATTACTAGTGGCGCCGATCACTGAATTGACCTATGACATAAGTCATGGTATATTTTTAGATGTGGGGGCATTGTATGGTACTGCAGGGGATCTTGCCATGGATCCAGAATTTACGTTAAAACGTAAACATAAGTGATCGAACATTGCATTTTATAGGTGATTTGAGATTGCATCTGATTGTGAAATTAAAAAAGTGGGATGCTGGGGATTCAATTTTACGATGTTATAGTATATTTTAAACACTTCAGCGCCACTGATTATTACTTATATTACTTCTATAGTTCTATGGCGCATTGGCGCCGCCGTTGACGTCGTTGTTGTCGTACGGTCTCGTCTTCAGTACTTCGTCGTTGAGCACTAGCCGCTTACCGCCGTCTCGTCTGGTGTTATTTTTTTTTCCTTATAAAATATTAATTATTGTGTTGACATATTTTAGTCTTTTTCTTTAAAAATTATTGTTTTAAACATTTGTAAAAATTAACGATTCTAAATTCACACAGTTCAAAATTTATATTTGTTTATCGTCGGGTATTATTTTTTTTCACCTTTTTGACATTTTGTCTTTTTTTGTAAAAATTTCTAAATTATTTGGTAAAAATTTAAAATTTAAATTAATTTTTTTACATTTCGGTTTTTTTTCTTCTTTGAAAACCAAATATTTTCAAAAACTGTTTATCTAATAAAGTTACTTATTATGTTGATATTGTGTTTTTTTTTTGTTAAGAAATATATTTTTAGTTTTATTTATTTCAACAGAATAATGTTCCTCGCTACAGTCGCTCAACATGCGTGTTAGTTAAGTGTTAACCACCAGTGTTTTTATTAAATTACAAATCTTAATAAAATATATTGAGGTTTTAGTCACGTGAACGTATAGTAATTAACCGATGTAGTGTCCCTTATGGAATTAATGTAGGTATTACTCCTATATACTATAATAATGATACCATTTTTTTATTGGTCAAGAAATTACAATTTTCAGTTACTTTATATATTATAGCATAGTTAAATGGCCCACGTCACCACTGAGGATAACTTCGCTATACCAGAGTTCTATTAAAAAATATGTATAAACAATTATACATTTTAATAATACCAATCCTAAAGGTTCCCACACACTGCAGCGGTAGCGTTTACGGCAAAATGAGTCCTGGACACAATTTTACCACCACCGCGGTGCACCGCCAAGACAAAATAATTTTACCTCCACCGTTTCAGTGTGTGTAGGGCACTATCAAGCCCGGATAAGGGGGGTCCAGGGGGGCATGGCACCAGGGCCTCAATACTTAGAATTTAGTAGGGCCTCAGATTTGTGCATTACTTTTTTCATTATAGGCTATATAAATTACCTAAAAAAAATCGATGATTATTACTAGCGAGGAAATAAGCTTGTAAATTACAATTTATAAATAAAATGATACGTTATTCTGTATTTATCGCTATGTACCTATTACCTATATATATTTATTATAACAGGTACCTAATATTATATACATTATTATTTTTTTTTGTACAGGGACCTCATTTAATACTTTGTCCCCTGGGCGGCTGGGCCTCAAAATGCCTTAATCCGGGCTTGGGCACTATATAAAAGTGTAATACACTCCTTTAGTGCCTTAGTGTGTGGAGGCCTTAATAGGTACCTATTGAGCATGAACTAAGATAAATAATTATCTTAGTTCGTTACTATATTATATAAGTTATATGCATATATAATATTAAATAATATATTTATTATATCATAATCTATATAACAATCACCAATTGTTGACATTCGTTGGAGACGATCAACAATTCTAATAATTTTAGTGCACAAAACTATAAAATAAGCCAACAATAGACAGCCAGTAAAAAAAATTGCTCGTTAAACAGTATTGGGTATAATATATGATAAATTTTAACTTATAGCACGAACTCACACATTTCGTTACGTTCAGGTTATTTTCATAAAAATACGTATTTCGATACCGAATTTCGAGTTTCACTTCGGACCGTTATGAAAAGGGATGAAGATAGCTATGTCTTTGGTGGATACACGTACTGATAATGCATTATAGCTAGGTTTCACCGGAAGAGTCGATGCTTACGGGTAAGTTTGTTTTCATATTATTTTGGGCAATTAATTTTTTTTTAAGACTTAAATTAAATATTTATTGCCAAGGAAAATCTGTTAACTGAATGACGTAGAACTCATAGAAGCGTATACATTTACTACTCTCAAAAGACAATGTATGAAATGGTTATACTTAATTCAGAATAAAAAAAGACTAGGAGGAAGACAAAACACGAAAACACGTCGTTGTAGAGTATTTATAGTAATCAGTAGAGCATTTATGTAGTTTCTTTGAACTTTGGTGAGCTTGTACACATTAATTGTGCATATAATATGAAATACGTATGTATATAATATATTGTATATATATCCCTGATCCCATACGGTCACGCCATAATTTGCTATCCTGTGTTTTTATAAAAAAATAATTTGGTCATGTTTTATATTATTACACATCCGATTAAAAAATAAATAATTTGTAATAAACTGAATAAGATAATAAACTTCAATTTGTGTTCTTAAATGTATGGTATTGCTACTCTTAAGGGTTGAAAAATTTTAGATTATTATACAATACATTTAAATTTTTTACGTTTTCACTTATGTAAATGTTCATGGAATTTTGTATGATCTTCTTTAAAATGTCTACCGCTTGCTTTTTTATAACTGGAAGTTCTTCAGTTGTATTAACGTTACTAATCCAGTAATAATTAGTATTAATCTCTGAAAAAGTTAAAACAAAATCCTTGTATTTTAATATTTTATTATAAATTCTAATAATTTAAATAAAAATTAACACAAATCCCCACCCGATTGGTAGGAATACGGGAACTCGCGGACTTCAAAAGGTTATAACTTTGAAACTAAGTCTGACCGACAAATTCTGATTGCACCAATGTTGATGACTCGTCGGAATACAGAGGTTCTCAAAAATCACTTAGTAGCTAAATCATATTTAAGCTAAAAAATATAGTAAATAGACCTTATGCTGGTTAATTTGTGTATTATAATTTTGAATTTTCAGTCTAACGTAATATTACCAATGTATTTCTTGTAATCAGTAGGTAATAAGCATTTATGTTGTTTCTTAGAACTTCAGTGCGTTTGTGCACATATCTTGTGTATAATATAAAGTACGTATCTACAGTGGCGTATCCAGAATTTTTTTCGGGGGGGATAACCCCCCCACAGGATACTCCACTGTGTTACTGCGAATGTATGTATAATGTTCATACAAACCTTAATTAGCTATCCAGTAGCTATACACAGTATTCTGTATTTTTATTCAAATATAATTTGGAACTGTTTTATATTATTACGTATCCAATTCAAAAATAAATAATTTGTAATAAATTTAATAAGATAAAACCTCAATTTGTGCTCATAAATGTATGGTCATTGGTATTGCTACTCTTAAGGGTTGAACAATTCTAGTATGTTATACAATATATTCACCGCAGGTTAAGATATGACCAGCCGCGCATTCAAAACAATACTTCCTCCACCGCACCGCTCGTCATAGAGAACTCACTACTACTCACTTCAGTAACGGACTTTCAAAAAATTTCTGGGGGGGGTCCTAAAAAATAATATATATTTCAAATGCATTATTTTTAATTTTAATAAATAAATAAATTATATATGTATATACCAGTGTCTGGGGGATAAAATCAAAATCCAGCTGTAACATACGCTAAACGGTCCGCCGCCCGGTCATGATCTTAAATTCTTAACGTGCGGCGATGGGTATACAATAAAAAATTGTTACTTTTTAACTTACTTATTTGTTCCCTTCGTTATATTTCGTAAGTAGTTTACTAAACTGTCTACAGATTGCTTCATAAATGGATGTTCTTTAAGTTGTATTAAAGTTATCAATCCAGTTATAAGTAGTACTAGTATCTAGAAAAATAAAAAGGAAAATATTATATTTTATTGTTGTATTATAATTTCTAATAATTAAAAAACACAATTAATTAGGTAGGTACTGAAATACTGAATTGCATACTTACTGATACAACAAGATTTAAATTTATATTGAAAATTCCAAAAGCTGTGATTTCGTCTGATTCGAATATTGATATTTGGTTAATAAACATTTTAATCTAATAATATATAAAATATAAATATAGAATTAGAATATTATAATAACAGTATCACATAAATGGTATTATGATATGTGTTAATATATTACAATTTACAATCATACAATCTTTAGTAAAACATAGTATTACTAAGGGGATTCCACACTACCTCTTTTTAGAGTAAAATAGATCTATACGCGTTCCAACGTACTAACTTGAGTTTTACTCCTATAATAATTTTGAAAACATATTTGAATTTATTATGAAGTCTTTTTGAATCCTTCGAATCAGAATAAAAAAAAAAAAAATTTTAAACTATTTATGTCCATTAAAATTTTTAATAATACAAGGTTTTTTTCTAAATTTCAAGTGAGGTTTTTTCTTTTTAAGAATTATAAATTAAAAATGTGGTTTGAAGGATCCAAAGTTGATTGAACAACAAAACAAAATTTGTTTTCAAAATTATTATTATTGTAAAACTCAAATCGATCCACGCACGCACGTAGGTACTATACAGATTGTCTAAAAATTGTCTATACTCAACTCTTTAAAAACGGTCGGTATGGAATCCCCTTCAGGAATTATAATATTAAATAATAATTTTTTAATAAAATAATTGTTCTAATTATTTTATTTACTTGGATTTTTAGGTTTGCAGGTAAATTTGATATCCTTATTAATCGTAAATATGATATCATCTTCCGTTTCTGTAGATAAATATAATTGAAACAATTAAATTATTACATAAATTCGTGTTGAATTCAGTGGCGTATTTACGGGTGTGGAGGGGGGTATGGTGGATATATTACCCTTGACCTTTTTTTTTGTAAAGTTAAGTTTTCTCATTTTCTGTATTTATCAATATGATATTACTTTTAAGTATGTCTGTTTTCTAAATGTTCTAGCCGTGGTAATTTTACTAGTCGTTCGCGGCATACCTACCTATATGTGGCATATATATCGGACAACAAAAACATAATATACCTATCTCTATGGTGTATGGCAGTAGTTCTCAACCTTTTTTGATTCATGTCATCTTTAGTCACTAGAATCAAACATCACCCTAACATCAAAATAATAAACAATCTTGGTTGTATATTTTATAAAAATACGAACTTTGAGGTATGTTATGTACATGACATAAATTTATAATATATTTATTATAAGAAATAAGATGATTGTTTTCGAAAAAATTAATTTTTTTTCTTTTCTAATTAAAATTATGCGTCACCCCTAAGCTGGTCCATGTCACCCCGGTTGAGAACTACTGGTGTATGATGTAACACGTAATTACTGTATTTTTTACTCTTCCGAGAATTATTTTTCATGCAAGAGTGTTTATACCAAACTCGATAAACAGTTTTTAAATAAAACAAAATTAACATGAAAACTGTAGATTTACCATAGGGGGTGGGCTAACCTAACCTCTGGTTTACATGCTTTAGATATTTATTATAAAGAGTTTATCCAAATATTCATGAACTCTTGAAAATAGTTTGTACTTTCCCTGTATCAACTGCTACGCATATGAACGAAGTTTTTCAAGTTTTTATTAGGTAAGAAGTCTTACCTAATATAAATAGTATGACAGAAGTAAATATTTTATCAATTTCCTATCTAATATTGAATAATAATTATAAATTAAGTAGTAGTTATTATATATTAATAGTAGTTTATTAGAACCGATTATGGCTAACCTTACCAACCTAACCTAATCGACTAGGGCTCGTTTTACAATCATAGTTAAAACCTCGGTTACACTTAACACACTGATTTTACAGGCCGAATTCCGCGGTTTAACCTATTGTAATAGGTACGAGCGACGAGCCCTTATTCCTTAATGTGTTGGCTTTATAGGCATGTCACCGGTCAATACAATAATAACGCCAGATGAGGTTATCGATAAACCAAGCATCCAAAAAATGAGAAAACTGGATTTTGTATTATAACAATTTTTTTTGTTTATCGTATTAAACATAAGATTGGCTCTATTATGAATTTATAATAAATGATATTATATAAGTATTAGGTACTATGCAGTGTGTTTCTTATTTCGCCTTGACCCACTTACTTCAATAGGTAACAATACAATATAGTTAGGGGATTTCAAAAATGTATATTATGTACATATATTTATAGGTATATTATTAATTATTATATATTTCATCCCCCCCCCCCCCTATCAAAATTCCTAAATACTCCACTGGTTGAATTCATTAATTTATTGTGAAGCATTAGGTATATTCTATTGTATATTGTATTTATATTGTTCACCAAATATCAATTATTGATATTATTGTAATTTGATATAAATATAAATATTTTATTTTTGTTTATCTAACCAACAAAAATAATTTGAAAATAATTCATCAAATAATAATATCATCGTCATTGTCGGTGACTACGTTTTTTAGAGTATTTACAAAGATGTCAACTGTAAACAATTAAACTAATATTATGCATATAAATAAAATATTTATTATCTAAGGGTTAAAGGTTTTTTTATTTAAATATCAAATTTTGTATAATTTTAAGAGTAATACTGTAGTGTGTAGTCGACTAGTGGTACCATTGATTATAAATACTAGTATTTATATAACAGTGTCTGGGGGGGGGGGGTCCAGACTCTGATATATATACACATATATAATTAATTAATCAATTTTATAAAAATAAAAATAATACATTTAAAATATATATTATTTTTTACGACCCCCCCACCAAATAATTTGAAAATTCACTACCGGGTGTAAGTGTATACTATTCATCAATATTTGTCTACAAAATTAATGTTGTCCATTAAAAAATGAAAAACTGTGGTCTGTGTTACACATAATATTACTTGCATCATTAATTGAATAATGTTTTTAATTTTTAAACTAATGCTTTTACTCAAATTCAATAAATATACCTAGGTAGGTATGTACTTAGTTAATACTATTTAGTAAAATAAAACAACAATTAATATTCCTAATGGTTTTTAAACAACTTAATGTAAAAATAAACGTACAACATAGTAAAAACACAGTTGGCGGGTACACACATCATACTATATAATAATTCTATTATTTATACTAGAATTTTCAAATTTTTAGACTTCATAAATGGGGATTATATCTATAAGCCATAAAGTATTTATTGATGTAGCGTTTTTACTTTTTCGATAATTCTGTTAGTATTGTTACATATTAATCCATTAATCTGTACAAATTTGATAATTCTTTGAATTTTTTACTTATAGTAGTACCGTACTAATATTTAAATATTTGTACACATAATAATATTACCTACCTTTTCGTGTACACGTGATGCAGCCATTATAATAGATAAAATAAATGTGACATTCTGTAGGCTTGTCATGTATATCATAAAAGTATTTAGAAAATAAATAAAAGTGGACTCTTCTATTTTCGCAGCGTTATGATGAATCATATAATAAAAAGTGAGTACCGTATTAGTATAACTGAATACAAAGAATCCTACTAGCATTTGTCCGTAACCCGCACTGAATATTCTTAATAGGTCCGATAGTTCAGCGTGTAACAACCGTATTTTGTCCAGCGTCATTCCAGTTATAAAATGTGATAATTCACCAGCTGGGACTGAAATAAATCCGGGTAAAAGATATTGCCAGGAATCATTTAACGTTTGGAATCTACAATCCAATTGTTGTAAGAAAAAACATGTGGAAAAAATTACTGCAACGTCCACGAGGAATTCTAATCGAACAATAAACAAGGAGATCGTGAAGATGTCAAAAGTTTTCGGTGGAAATGTTTTAAATATCACTAATGTCACTATAACATAGTAAATTAACGTGAAAATAAAAATTTTGTTCCAATAATTTTTCTTCTGTGAGTGTTGGGAAATAAATAAAAATCTTGGAAGCGATGTTAGCTTTTGGTCGTACTCGATGATGCCATTCATCAACCTGCAAAAAGAAATAAGAAAAAAACCAATTATCTACTTATTTTATTCTTTCGTTGTACACCTATAGTAAGATTATAAAATTGTCATGAAATAAAAGTAAAATGCATTACATAATATTTATAACATTTCGTCCCCAGTCTCGTCACCGTAAGAAAAACCAGTTCACGTTCCCCGGTATTTTATATCACTAAATTTAAAATGTTATAAAATATAATACCTACCTACAATATAATTTTCATTAATAAAAATTAATAAAAAAAAAAAACAAAACTGTATAAAAATATAGTACATTTAGGTACAATACAAATACATTTTGTACTCTGTCACCAGCGAGAGAACCCCCCACGGGCAGACCAAAATTTGATATTTTGCTCATCACCATCAATGTGGAACTTTAGCAGGGTGTTGAGGGATGCACAGAATCAACGCGTTCTCTGGCTAAATAGAATATACATACCTAATTATTAATTATGTTTCGATATTTCAGTCACTATTTATTTTTAATTTAAAATGTCAATACCATACTATATTAAAATTATTTACAATGAAATGTCATATTCTTTAAAAAAAATATAAAATGTCAGTATATTTATTAAGTTTAAATTTAAATTGCCTACAATAGAATTTTCTTCAGTCAAATTTAATTTTTAAATAATATATTAAGTAAATTATGCCCTGCTATGACTAAAACACATCTTTTATATTGTAATATCTCCCGTGGGCCAAATGTCCTATTTTAATAATTGACAAACGAAACGTCCATGATGGACTGTTTTTTTTTTACGAAGATGAAACGTCAGTTTATATTTATCCAATGACTTAGGTTACAATCAAAAATTAAAATTTATTTTTTTTTAAATTATCTTTATTTATTATTAAGAATAATATTATTTATCTTACTGTATCACCCGTTTTTCTGATATTCTGGAAGCAATAATGACGGACCATACATTGCATAAATTTATTGTTTGAGTAAAAGCACCATATTTGTGTATATAATAAGTGAATATTATTAATAAGATCATTCGTGTGAATTCAAGAAGTTTATATATTATGTCTGTACTTTGTATTAATAATCCATTCGATTCTAATATGTAAGATATGTTAATAATACCAATAAATTTGCACAAGTATAAAATATTCATTAAAGTTGTTTTATAAACATTAGTCATTTCGAGAAAACGTTTTTTTATAAACTAAATATTGAAACGAACTATTTCGTTCTTATAAAGTATAAACAGTTATTTGTTATTTATATTCAATTATAAATTCAATATTTATTTTAAACATTTTAAATCATTTTATTGGAAATTAATATTTGTTTAAATATATGACATAATTATGCTGTGACAGTAAACCAATCATCAAAATAATTTAGGTTCGATATATTCGTATTACATAATAATATACGATATAATATTTACTTTGTTAATTATAATACCAGACGATTCAATGATGATTGACGTGCATGTCCATGTCTTGTGTTTTTTGGATTAACAATATAGCGTCTAGAGACATAAATTAACGATTTTTTGTTGTATTATATTGTGTAACTAAACATATGTATACAAATATAGTATATACAATATAGTCACCACGATTCCACTACTTTATGGTGAATTATTTATTATGGAGTCGACAACATAAGAGGTGAGGTTAGATATTCATATACCTACGTTATTACTTATCAGTGGCGCAACCAGGATTTTTTTAAGGGGGGGGGGGTCCAAAAATATAATTATAAATATAAAATATATTTTTGATGCTTAGCTAATCTAGGTATTTCAAATTCAGTGGCGTACGCAGGGGTAGGGTTCTAGGGTTCTAACCCCCCCTGAAATGTCTTCCTTTTACAAAAAAATCATATTTACCCCCATTTTATAATACACAGTTATATTACAATTACCATAAATTGATGGTAATTTTTAATAGATATAAAATCAATTGTTAAATATGACAAAGACGTCGATAATCATAGTTTCAGTTTTTTATTGGCTGATTTAGAACATTGCTAAACGTCTACCACAATCGTTGTATGGTGTATCATCGTCCATCGATTATTACCACGTGTATTACGACACGAAGAGGCTATAGAATGATGACCAGATGTCCAGGTTAAACACTCGATTATTCTAAATGAAGACTAACTATAATTTTTTATAACCAATTATATTAAAACTGTTTAGCAAAAAATATAGTAAATTATTTACACGGGTAAAACCCTAACCGAACGAAAATCCTGCGTACGCTACTGATTTCAATAGTAAGTTCAAAATCGTTTAATATTTTATTAATATCAATAAATAATTTGTTAAATTCTAATATTATATTTATAATATATAATATAATATTTATATTGCTGCAGAACACATATTATCACCGCTCACCGCGGCGGTAAAGCCAACTGCCAAGACAATAGAATTTACCACCACCGCGTGTAGGTTAGGTTATAATGGTTATATAATATTATGTCTATACTTTGTATTAATAATCCATCCGATTCTAATACGTGAGAGTGTGAGACATGTTAATGATAAAAGTACAATCACACAAGTATGAAATATTCATTCAAATAATTTTATAAGTACCTATTCGTCATTTTAAGAAAACTTTTTTTAAATACTATATATTAAAATGAATTAGTCGACTCTTATAAACAGTTATTTGTCATTTGACGAGAAATTATTATTTATTTTGTTAAGTCAATAATAGTTTATTTATTATATTGTTATTGTGATAGTCGACAAAATTATCAATATGTTCCAACCACAGATATATAAAAATACTAGATAGATAACTTGGAAATGTTTTTGAAGCCAACAAAATGGCCGAAATTCTCTTATCTAAGAGGTGAGTGTTTACATTTTCATAATACTGATAAAGATATTATTGTTATTCAATTTGTCATAATATGATTAATATTATAAATTATAAGTTTAAACTTTAAAGTTGTATAGTTAGTTCATGATGTTAATAACTTAACTTACTTACATAAGTCTTAAATACATATTATCAACTTTTAGCTTATTCAACAGTTATGTAAATTATGTAATGGTGCATGTGAATATTACATTATTTTATAAAATTTTGTTCTATTGTAAAATATTTTTAAAAACAATCTGAATTAATTAATTACAAATTTTACATCCATTTATTATTTTTGAAAAACTATATTTAAAATCAAAAAACAAAACTGGTATACTACCTTGTATAATAATAATCATAAAATATTTAAAATTAATAAAACAAAATTTGTATCTATACTAGTGCTACATATTATAGTAATAAATATAAAATATTTCAAGTAAATAAAACAAAACTAGTATATTAATTAATTTAATAATAATACAAATATTTAAAATAAAACTGGTACCTATAGTCTATACTACATATAATATTTTATACCTACTACTGGTTCATAAAAATTATTTGTTTAGTTAATTTTTGTCTTTTACTAACAGGATTTAAAATTTCTGTTGAAAACACTTTGCCAAAAGAATGGAGTCGAATACTTAGATATTTTTTTAACTAATAATGAAATGAATACCATCTTATGGGGTCTATCTAGCAAAGGAACATTATCACATTGAAGCGTGTATAAAAAATATTATTATCGAATGCAAATGTATTATTACATAGGTTTATTATTTTTAAATCAAGATTTTTATATTTAATGTTTGTATTTGATTTTGATGTGTGGCTTCACATACTCCTATACACAATAATGTCTTACCCTAAACTATAAATTAATTAATAAAAATCATTCTTAACAAAACTAAATCATATTTTACTAATATAATTTACCATGAGTTTAAGGATTGAACTTTTGGTCAAAACTTATGAACTGCATATTGTATTATACCGTATGTTTAAAGTTAATACAAGTAAATTCCATCCTTTGTATGGTTGTAAATACAAGATCATAAAATAATTGTAATTTAATTATACCATTTAATGGCATTTATTTTGGAACTCAACGTCTAATAATTAGAAGAGGCTTGTTATTACATAAATATATTATTAATTTAACCAATTTTTGTAATTTCACCAAGTATAAGATATATATTAATAATATTTTCTCTTATATTTAATATAAAATTAAATCTTTTTTGTTTTACTTTATTTTGTTGTAATATGACATAACATAAAGTTAAATTTATTTTCATTTTAGTTCATTTTTAATATGAATTCAGATCATTAGAATTCAAGCATGTGCTTATTGGACGAGCTTGAAACTTGTTTATTATATCTATATTGTATTTCTCGTTTTTTGCAATAAATTATACTTTTAATCTTAATTTTAAGTCAAGGACTAAGACATACTATAAAATAAAAAATATAAGTACATCTTAGTCCGTGTTGTAACTAGTAAGTGTATGATATTGTAATTTGTAATACATATTTAATAGTTTTTGATTCCCGCCATAAAATTATTACAGTTTATCATAATTTATATTTTGTAAACATCACGGACTAAGATAGAATGGACTGACATCGAATGTCTTATCAGTGTGACGCAAATGTTTCTCTAGACAAGGTACCAGAGTACACTATATTCAGCGCCATCTATGGAGAAATAATCGTAATAATCGTAACAAAATGCATTGGAGGGAACCACTATTTACTTTTCTATCGTATATTATTATCACTAGATAGCGTTGAACATAGTGTACTTGTGATAGATGAGGAGTGTAGCGGGGCAGAAACATTTGGGGATCAGACCCCACTACCCCGCCGTCCCTACCATTACCAGTCCATTCTATCTTAGTCCGTGGTAAACATTCACCTCTTAGATAAGAGTATTTCGGCCATTGTGTTGGCTTCATAATTATTACATGGTAGGAATAGGGAGTCGTCTATCTAGTATTTTTATATATCTGTGGTTCCAACCCCTTGGGTTACCAAATTAAAAATATTTGACTTTTTTGTTTGGTGTTACTTGAATTTCAAATATCAACAAATTTACAGTAAAAAAAAAACCATAAGCATTGTTTTCTTTTAATTGTTTAGATGCCTAACGAAGATATACCTATTTAAAAAAAACTTCAAAAAGGCAGTCTCAAACCCTATTGGTTTTCCATTTGATGGTGGTGTCATTATTTAATATTTATATTATATTTAAGATCGACTAAACAATTTTGAAAGCTTTTTTGGGGGGAGAAAAGTCACATAATATCTGTATACAAAGTGGCTACAATTATTTATGATCGTTATTAGCCAATGACAATAATGATCTGCTCTATCAAGATTATGAAAATATCCTATAGGATGGAGTTGTCAGGAATATATCAGGTTAAGTTACCGAAACTAATTATTTTTTTGGTTGGTCGAAAGTAAAAAAAAATGTTAAGTATTTTTCAAAACAATCTCAAATATTAAAATTTACATTTTCTTACAAGTAGACATTTTACCTGCAAACAACCTATTTTTTACTAAATGTCCATCCATAGATGAGCTAACAAAAAAATTGGTCGGTCTCAAATACAAAAAACTAGTTTGATAGTTATTGGTGCATACATTTTTTGTGGGCATTTAAGTGTACAACGACTCCACATAATTTTTAAATAGTCCTCATGGAACAATTTTTAAAATCATACTTTCTTTGTTTTAAAGCACAAGATTGCAACCATACAGATAAAAAAAAAATGTTGTACTATAATCAACACCAATCACCTTTTTCATCAGTAGGTAACCAATCAGACGAACAACATTGATTATAACTGAGAGCAGTTTGTCGTACAGTACAATTATTCCATTTCAGAAAAAATACAGTGTAAATTCATTGTAAAAACAAAACATTACCTTTTAATGAGAAAGGCCCATTTCCTTAAACATTTTCTTTATGCGGTATGTTGTTCAAATCAAACTCAAAATCACTAGCAATCAAATCCCATTCTCTAGCTTTGACTTCTTTGTAACTAAAAAAATAATTATGCATATCTTCACCAACTGGTCTTTTTAGTGTAGGAGTATTTGATGAGTTATGTGATTCAGTTTATTATTCATATCAATTATTAAAATATTATAATCTTAACTTGAGGTAAATATTAATATTATTACATTGAACTATAAATATAATCTTCTATATATATAAAAATGAATAAAACTCGAGAACGGCTTAACCGATTTGGCTCAAATTTTTTTTAGATGTTCATAATTGTCAGGAGAATAT